TCAATGAATGGGAGGACAATTAATTTCATGAAGTGCTATTTCATGAAGCTCTCTTTTGAACTCTCTGTTCTCTCTTTGTCTCTCTGAATTCATGTCCCATTGAAGTATAGCATGAAAAGCAAGAGATGGATTTGGAATTGGGGTGCAATGTCAAGTGCAATGTAATTCTGTTTATTAATATTTACTTATAAATATTAATTTATATGATTTAACAAACAATCTTAGAATAACTTTGTTTACATAAAATACATAGATTTTGTTGAGGTTCCCATATACCCTACACCAATTTCCCATATTAGTAACATCTCACATGGCTGTGCTGCATGTATCGTAACTAATAACTTAATATTGAAAAATAATTATTAAAGTATGTATTTTATATTCATATTTTCTGAGATTTTCCTTAATGTTTTTCTTTTGCCCCAGAATCTCAACCAAGACATAACAGTATGTTTTTCCTCATGTCTCCTTGCATTCTTGCAGTTTGTGACAGCTTCTCATTTTTTATTTTGTACTTTTCTTTGTCTAAAGAGGTGTTTTATGAGTTTGGGGGAGGGAAATTACAGGGATAATTTTCATCACTGCACATGAAGAGCATATGCTATTAAATGATCACCTATTGAAGATCCCATTTTAAAGAATAGACGTAGAACTGAAATCTTTTTATATGTAATTTTCTTTGTGTTATATATACACATACATATATGGATAATACTTGATTATCTTTGAGTAATTTACAATTATAAAATGCATGCCTTTTTTTGTTAAAGCAAAGTCCCCTCACCACTGATAAATGAAAGTGGAAATCTACAATTTGTTATAAAGTAATAGTAAGCCCATATTTTTGGAAAAAGAGCTATGTAGTATATTTGAAATGAACAAAAATACAGCTGTTATATTTTTTTCAAGTGAATTGCATGCTTGAAAAATAACAGATGTGGCTCAGCTAAGTGGACTAAAGGATTCAACAAAGTGGTAGCACTGCAGTTAAGTGATTTGATTCTAATGCCTGTAAGTCTGTTTAATGCAAGGAACTTGCCTTGATAAATGTTAATACTTCCCAAAGCCTGAGGCCTAGAGAATCTGAAGACTCTAATCTTGTGGCCTCATTGGTACAAATGTGCATTATCCTTTGGGGTTAGGAAAGACTCTAAGGTAGCTGGGCCTGCTGGGCCCCCTGGACCACCACTGGCTCGCGAAGAACATTGCTGGCTGCTCACACCCGCTCATCTTCTCCGACCACTTTTCCATGGCTGCCCAACTGGAGCTGGCACTGCCTTTTCTGCCACCAGTGAACAGCCTCCACCTCCCTGGCAGGAGGTAGTCCTGGCACCTGCCTCTCAGGCAGGAGGTAGTCCTGGCACCTTCCTCCCAGGCAGGAGGTGGTTATTCAGCACTCACCTCCCAGGTAGGAGGCTGTTCCTGTTCCCTTCAGGAAGTGCTCTGCTTTCTTCATTAGAAAACCCATCAAAAGCTGAAGTTAAGAGGACTGAGGTATCAGAGAGAGGGAAAGAGAGTTTTGTTTTGTTTTTGTCTCAATGATTTAATTTTTCCATCTGATTCTTGGAACCAGGCTGGAGAGATAGCACAGTGGGTAGGGCGTTTGCCTTGCGCTCAGCCGACCCTACTGGCTGGAGTTCAATTCCTCCGCCTCTCTCTGAGAGCCCGGAAAGCTACCAAGAGTATCTCGCCCCCATGGCAAAGCCTGGCAAGCTACCTGCGCCATATTCAATATGTGAAACACACTAGCAGTAAGTCTCACAATGGAGACGTTACTGGGTACACTCGAGCAAATGATGAACAACGGGAGGACAGTGCTACAGTGCTAAGGTAGCTGCCACAGGAACTGGGACATCCCTGGTTTTGTTTGTTCTATGCTTTGGTTATGTATTTCTCCAAAATTTTGGGAATTTGATCTGGGATTACTATTTTCTGTGCTCTATAAAATTTTCAGATCAAGACAAGAAATCTGAGAGGAAAGATTGACAGAAACTGAGTATTATCAGAGTTAGTATAACTTAGATTTAAATGGAGTAAATGCCCACAATATCATACTCTGAGCATTTATATATATATATATATATATATATATATATATATGTATAGCCACACCCATCCATAATATATGGGTGTAGCCACCCATATATTTAAATATATTTGTGTTAAATATAGTTACTCTAAATATATTTGTGTTTATGACTGGGCAACATAGAGCTAATCATAAGAGCAATTTTATGATTTTAGCTCACTTTGTGACATTATTATGAACATTAGAACATTGAACAAATCATTCACGTTTTTTGTTCTCTAAAATTCTTGATTTCCTGTTCACTGAACACTGTCTTGACTGACTACATTTATCTGTGTAATATTGGAACATTGCCTTAACTTTAATAAGTTCTTTTGTATATGAGATTACTATATAAAACACAAAATTATTTTTAAATTTGTTACTTATTCACAGATGTATGTGCATGCTTTCAAATAATAATTTCTGATATATTGAGACAAGTGAATAAATATTAAAGTATTTTAAAGCAGTCATTATGTTTTGTGACACGTCTAACTTACCAGAAACATTTTCTACTACTTAACATTTCAACATTGGCACCTTGGTATGCAAAAAACAACTGAACAAGAAATGAACTTTACAGTGTTAAAGGGAATAAATCAATTCTGATAGTTAAACAGTGTTAGAATAACCTTGTTTTGCTTTAGCAATGATAGACCAATTAGGAGTATGATTTTTTTAAACATTGTTGGCAGATAGTCTCCACGATATTTGAAGGAGATTTGATGATCTTAGCAGCTAAATACGTGATTAGTAATCTGTGTAGTGTTAGGCATAGAAAATAAGATTTAGATTAAATATTTTATACAACATCCTTAAATAAGAGTTCATTCTCTTTGATCAGTATTTAGGGGGTAAAAAATAAATACATCTAATTCCCTCTTATATAATATGGATCAAATGGTTATACAAGCTAAAAGACATAGTGTAAGTGCAATCAGTACTTGATTTAATTATCTAACAAGACAGAAATAAACATTTATCATTACAACACTTTATTGCAGCAGATCACTGTCCTTTATAATTATTGGCAGATCCATTGCTCATAAACTTTTCAATGTGACATTACAGAATGATTATGGCAGCTTATAGTTTGAAAAACAATTCCAAGAGAAGGTATAGATGAAGAAAGCTTTAAGGAAGGTTTTGAATGGTCAGTTAAGAACCAGGCGGTGGGCTCTTTTCCACTCTGGAGAAGTCTGTGTTCTCTCTTGAACGTCTCTTTCTTCACCTTTCTCCCACCTCTCTCTCTCTCTCTCTCTCTCTCTCTCTTCTCTCTCTCTCTCTCCCTTTCTCCTCTCTCTCTCTCCCTCCTCCTCCCCTCTCCCTCCCTCCCTCCCTCTCTCTCTTTTTTCCTCTATTTTCTCTATCTTTCTCTCTGTCCCCTCACTCTTCATAAGTAATTTTTTTCAATTAAAATACTTTGTTTCACTAAAAAAAGAAGAACCAGTTGGTGGAATGGAGAGAGGAAAATATAAGTAGAAATGATATAAAGAGAAAAGGATATAAGATATGAGTTGCAAATAGAGCTCACATTGAGTAGAAGGGATAAAAGTAGAGGAATAAAGAAAAATTAGGAAAATGATAATAAGGAGAAAATGAGTAGAAAGGATATAAATAGAAGAAGTATAAGATATGAGTAGAGCTCATTGTAATTAATTCTTGATGTAAACATAATATTGATTGGCATATTTGGAATTTTAGCAATATATGTCTATATTGTCACTGTATGTTACTGTTTTTGGCATATCAAATATGCCATGCATAGCTTGCCAGGCTCTGCTGTGTGGTTGGGATACTCTCGGTAGCTTGCCTGGCTCTCTAAGAGGGACAGAGGAATGGAACCTTGGTTAGCTGCATGCAAGGCAAACACCCTACCTGCGGTGCTGTTGCTCCAGCAGGAAAACAGTAACAAGTCTCACAATAGAGATGTTACTGGTGCCCACTCAAACAAATCGATGAACAATGGGAGGACAGTGTTACAGTGCTACATTATAGCTGTATATTGACCTGAGTTAGAGTAAATATTTATTCTTTGTACATTGTCCCTCCAGATTAGAATCAGATAATAGATCTATTCTACCTGCCTGTCTGACTATCTATTTATACATATTCCTACTTTAAATCTAGTAGGGATATAGTATATAAACATTTCCATCGTCATTAAACTTTTTAAATAACATGACATTTATTTGATATGACCAGTCACCAGTCTGTTACTTCCTTATAAAGAAGTTACATTGAGGTTTGAATACTGCTGTTATAAATTCCCCAAATACAGCTTAGTACAGAGCATGCATTTAATAAGTATGTCAGACTAGAATCCATTTTACCTGTATATTGATGATTTTTGTACATGGTGCTGAATATAAACCTCTTTGTAAATAGAATAATGGTTTCCTAAGCATCTAATCTGGACAAAGAACTCTAAACAGATTTCTTCTGTGTTTTTGCTGTTGTATGACCATATATGAAAGAATAAGAGCTTATTGTTCAATTATAGGAAAACATAAAAAGAAAATTTTAAGAGAAATTACATATTAAAAATTACACAGTTGCTCTTAACCCTATGTTTTCAAAGTCATCTCTCTAGGAATATATGTTAAAGTGCAATGCATTCTAAGAATATATTGAAAGGGCACATGTTAAGCAAAAAAAAATGATGAATGTATTTATTTACCCCACATTAAAAATGTAAAGCATATTTGCACATACTTTCAAGGATTTTCTAAAGATTTTATATGAAATTCTATATGGTCATCTATATAAATTTCTTCACGACATGATAGATGAATAGCTGATAAGCAGTGATTGCTGGCTGCTCTTATCTTTCTTAGCATGATGCAGCATTAGTGATATATTTCCAAAAAGTAGAAAGATAATACCACTGTTTTCCCTCTTTTCCCTCTCTATGCTATTTTGAATGCAGACAGTACCGCAGGGACACCAGCAATATCAACGACGACAACTGTGGAAATTCGCAAAAGCAGTGTTATGACAACTGAGATCACCTCTAAAGTGGAAAAAAGCCCCACAACAGCCACTGGCAATAGCTCATGCCCTTCCACAGAGACTGAGGAAGAAAAGGCAAAACGGCTCCTGTACTGTTCCCTATGCAAGGTTGCTGTCAACTCTGCCTCACAGCTGGAGGCGCACAACAGTGGTGAGATACAGTGATTTCTTTTCTGTCTCAACAGCGCTGCAATTATCTTTCTCTGAATAGATTAGATCTTTTGCAGCAGGGGACAAAGGGGTAGCAGAAAACTGGCAATTATTACATGGAATTCATTAAGCATTAAAAACTAAAAATGACAAGCGAAGTGTCATTTACATGAGGGCAAAAGAGGGTTTTGACACCATGTTGTGTATGTTTGTTTTTCATTAAGCCTTAGGAGATAAAATAAAATATAATTCTAAAGTATAAGCTTTGCATTTATATGATTTTTTATGTTACTGTGTACTTCTTACATTTGCTTCTAAATGAAGTTTTCTAAAGTTGTACCAAAAATTGCTACAAAATTGGTTTTCCATGTTAAATGTATTTGCTATTTTAGTTTTTAGGGCAAAGAAATATTGTTTGGACCAAATCTATATGACCTAGGCAACTAAGTGTAATGTATTTATTATGGATGCTCATTAAGCTATGATCTCTACTTATACCATTTTATTTATTTTTTCTGGCAATGTACAGATTGGTATTTTAATGAGTCTTGGTGAAGATGCAAAACCAATTAAGTAACACAGAAATAATTCAAATGTAGTCTACTCTATTTTCAACACTAAACTAATATTAGCATAACAGAAAATGCTGATAAGCTAGGATGAGATACTCTCCCGATATATTTTTATTTCATCAACATGTTCTAACTATAGCTATATTCAAATATAGAGAAATATACAGAAATATATTTATTCTTGTATATAGAAATAGTCTATAGCTATCCTTAGTTTTATGTAGTCATATAATGTTATGTGTAGGTCTATATAATAAAATTAAAACACTCATATATTTCTGCCCTTCCTGAAAGTTTAGCCAGCCATTTGGCTCAAGATCAGCTTTTCTCTAAAAGACTGTGTTCATTGCCAGAACTCTGTCAGCAACTACAATAAAAATAAAAGAATCATTTGTGAATCATACTCCAAGTTAATATCACAGCTGTATGTTCACTGAGTCATTGACCAATCACTGTGCTACAGCAGCAATATTCATGCATTGACTTCAGGACTCTGAGGGGGTAATTGCAGATGGAGAATAATTTTTTCAGCATGTATCTTTCTCCTGCATACAACATCAATTGTGTGCATCAGAGAGAGTTCAGGAGTTCAGGAGCTGTGAAACACAAAAGCATCTGGCCCCAAGTCAGAACCTGTACCAGGCAGATTTTCCTTGTTTATTCATACAAATGCATTTCACCTCAATGCAAGATAATTGGGCGAGCACAAACATCACTGGAAGTTCATTTGTTTCAACAAGTTCTTGATCTTTCCACAGAGGGATAGATAAACATGTTCACTTGAGGAGGGATCAATTTTGACAGATAAACTGTACCCTTTAAAGGCTGGAGTTAATTTATCAAGAATTTGTCCTTCCTGAATTCTTATCAGAAACATCCAGCTTAAAGGGAAAGAGGGATTATTTATTTGCTCATATCACATCAGGTCATCATTTTCTTATTCCAGTTCTATATGATTGTTATCTCTGTGTGTCAGAATTTATCTATGGAGTCTTAAAAGCACATAAGTTTGCATTTATGTATAAATATCAAATAAACTTATTTGTAGGAAATACCCTCAGTGTTACTTGAGGTGCCATACCTTGGCTATATTTGGAGGCATTGGGTCACTCATAATTGTAGTGGGTGGAAGATACACTTTGCCAGAGATCAGATATGGGGTCTCTCACTTGAAGATATAGGATTGACCACTTTAGCCATATCCCAGCCTCTACTCTTACATATTTTTAATACTTTTTTCAATAAAATATTTTCTATATCTAGGAACTCTTATTTATTATATGCTCAGGATTTTAGAATCTATCATGCCTGGGAAAACAAAAACAAAAACAAAATACTCTTAAATCTGGCTCAATCTGGTCTGAGTCCCGCTGTAACCACCTTTCTGAGTCGGAGGAAGTGAGTAAGTTTCGCCCCCTTATTTGAATTCCTTTACTGAAGGGTACTCACCAAATCTTCAGCCAAATGAGGGCACTGGTATCACTCCTCTTTCCTCTGAGCTATTGCCTGGGATGGGATTTCTAATTGCCGTACTTCTTTTTCTGTGTCAGAGATGTTTTTCTAGAGTCCAAGCCTAATGCTCATTTTAGGTATAACCCTAGCCTTGCATTAGCCTGATATTCTGAAGGTGGTGGTAGCAAAGGAAGAACATAGAAGTAGACATTCATCCTCATGCTTTGTGTAACATTTTGTTCTTGGTAGATGGGGGCATCCCAAGCACTGCTCAGGAAATCAGGTCATTCTGAGCAATAAGTTACCAACCAGGCCAGATGAGACCAATGCTAAGATCTAGTATTGTTGGGGGCCTCTAAGTCTACATCCAGTGTTGTTGGGTTCCGACATGTGATTCTAGGGTTGAACTCCATTTTTGGACAGGCAAGGCACAGACTCCTGTTCCCTTTGTTAGTTCCCCAGCCTCTGGGCACCATTTTTGATCTCTGAAGTCAGTTGTCCACTATAGCTGGAATTGTGTTAGAGGCTTATTATCTTGGACTTTTCTGAAAGTGTATAGATATGAACCAGTCCTTTCTTCCTTCCCTTCAGAACTGTAAATAGTGCACAAAGATTTTATGTCTGTTCACTCTGCTTTTAGAAATAGAAGGAGGAAAATGATTCATCTTTGGATTAGTGTTGTGTTGGAGTTCCATCAGAAGCAAAGTCTAAGACAGAGACTTGAGTTTAAATCATTTTTTAAGGAAGTAAAGAAAATAGATGTTAGGGAGTAGGAAAAAGAAACAAAGAAAGGAAGGCACTCAGTGTCAGAGGGTGTACCCCTTAATCAGTTACTGATATGAACAAGAAGAGCTCACTCAATGTACTAAACAGGGCTCTGGCCACTCTCTACTGCACTATTAAACATTAAAATTTCCAGTAATCACAGAGAACAGAACTGAACTGACTCAAATTCTGTTTCTTCATTTTTGCAATCATTATGTTGTCATTATTTATTTATACTCTATTGTTTACATTCATAATTATATAGTACCACAGGGATTGAAAGCATGAACTATAGCCTTTGTAAACTCAAGGGATATTGAATTGTTATAAACTTTGCGATGAAATAATCGCTTGTGGCCAAATTCTCTTATCTGGTGATGGCTGTATTGAAAGTTCTGCAAATTCATTTCCATGTAGCAAATAATGTTAACTATAGGAGAAGTAAGCAAATGTGTTAATTTAATATGTCCTGAATCTAAACAGTCACAGCATCAATTGTTTAGAATAGAGGCCAATAAAATACTTTTACGTATTTGTTCTTTGTCACTGACATTATTTAGAGCTGCCAGTTTGTCATGTTAGTGGAAAGAAAATTTCCTTTTTATAGTCCATTTAATTATTATTTTATAATTCTCTTTAATGGCTTCCTTATCACCTACACTCAGAACAGAATGCACTCATCATCCACAGGAAGTTCTTCACTGCTTCCACACTGTACTTTTCCCTACTATGAGATAACTTAAAAATTAAAAAAAAAAATTTAAAAACTAAAAAAAGAAAAAAAAACTTTTCTGAGTGATAGTACAGCAGGTCAGATATCTCCCTTGTATGCTGATTACCTGAGTTTGATGCTTAGCATCCCATATGGTTTCACCCCCCCATTACCCCCCAGCACCACCAGGAGTAAATCCTGAGTGCAGAGCCAGGAATAACTCCTGAACATCTCCAAGCATGACCCCAAAAGCCAAATAATATATAATATAATAATAAAAAATTATACATAATTATGGGCTGGAGTGATAGCACTGTGGTAGGGTGTTTGCCTTGCATGCCGCCAGCCCGGCCAAGCGGGTTCAATTCCTCCTCCGCCCCTCTTGGAGAGCCTGCCCAGCTACCAAGAGTATCTCGCCTGCACGGCAAAGCCTGGCAAGCTCCCCATGATGTATTTAATATGCCAAACACAGTCACAACAAGTCTCACGATGGAGACGTTACTGGGCTCACTCGAGCAAATCAATGAACAACCAGAGGACAGTGCTACAGTGCTATACATATACATTATACACACACACTTGTGTGTGTGTGTGTGTGTGTATATACATATATATATACATATACATATATATATATATTCTCTGTTTTATTCTGGAGTCAGGTATATGAAATCCCTATTGAGACTGGGTTACATTTTCCAGAGAGCCAGGTTTGAATACTAATTTAAACTAGTATCAATCAGCCTACAAGCTAGGAAGAAGTGCTCTGGCATGAAAATGTTAATTCTAAGTGAATGATAGCTCCAGTTTAAAAGCATATTGTATTCATAAAAATAAAACCTGTAGTGCTGAATGTAGAATTAGGCGTTTATGCTTTTCTCATGGGAAGCCAATGACATTGATTTACTTCATTTCTTTTTGGGTTTTGAACCACATGCAGTGGTATTCAGTGTTATGACTACTTATGGCTCAGTGTTTGAGGTTCTTACTGTTAATGCTTTGGGGAATCATGCAGAACTGAACCTGAGCCTACCACATGCAAAGCATGTGCTCACCCTTTTATCTTTCTTCTTGGCACATATTTCCTTTAAATCTTGGAAATGCTATATTGGAAAGAGCACACCTAGTGGTGCACTGGGCTTACTCCTGAATTTGTACTTGGGAGATCATTCCTGATGGTGTTCAGGGAAACATATGAGATGCAGGAATTGGTATGAGGGTCTGCTGTAAGCAAGGAAAATACTTAACATCTCTCCAGTCCAAGGAAAATGCATTCTTAATCAAAGTCACATTTTGGGAGTACAAATGTATCAATAGTTGTATGTGCCATGATATAATAAACTAGAAATGATCAGAATTAATTTTTACCTTATACCTGCAGATAACTTTTCTATATGAATACAGGCAAGACAAATTTCATCTTGGAACAATTGTTTCTATCTGTCTCAATCTGTCCCCAACTCTGCCACTCTAATGAAGTTTAGAGACTTTGTAACCACC